GGCCCAGGGGGTAAAGGATGAGGGGGTTGGGGGTGGGAATGGGGTGAGAGGACTCACCAGAGACAGAGTGGGGAACAGAACAGGAGGATTGACTGAAATACACTGCTGAGGGGAGCAGCAGGCAAGACAGGACAGGTCTGCTGCACTGTGTGGGTTGCTCCCTGGCCGGGGATCGAACTCATGCTACAATGGCTGTGGACAGCTTCACAGGTTGCGTCTTAACCCCTTGCGCCGCCAGGGAGGACCTGATTTATCTCTTAACCCATCAGTATGTTGTCTTTTCATGTAGTTGATAGTTGCCTTCATAGGGAAGAAGACGTTTAGTTCCATTTCTTTATTGTCGCTTTTGTTTGCCTTGCCAAAATAGAACCCCCCCGCCCCGAAAATGACTAAGACCAATGTCAAGGGATTTACTGTCTATCATTTCTTCTGGGTACTTTATGGCTGCAAGTCTGACATTGAAGAGTTTAACCCAGTTTGAGTTAATTTTGTTGTATGTAAGGTAGTGGTCGAGTTTCATTCCTGTGCGCGTGGCATTCCAGTTTCAGATGCCATCTATTGAAGCGACTGTCCTTTCCCTGTTGTCATGCACATTTCTTCCAGTTTGTTTGCACTGTGCTTGTTGGCTTTGGATTGGAAACCTTTGCACTACAGGGGAAATGAGCACTTTTAAGATTCTAATCTGGGGTAACAACTGGCCCAGTCGGCAGGGTCTTAGAACTCAAATATCCTGCTTTTGATAAGATAAATGTATAAACTTGTCATCCAAATGTTGAGGCACATCTACAAAAAGATAAAAGTAATGGTCTCTACCAGTTCACAGATACCTGTAAATGCCCATGGTTGTTAAGAAATGCTGTGTGCGTTGGTGGGTAATGGTGAGTTCAGTGCCTTCTAAAAACTCTTTGTTAATGATGTTGGCCCAATTGCCCAACCTACTACCTTTGTTCTTCCTATCAACAGATCCAAGAAAAATGAAATTCCATTCTTATTTCTAAACACTTGAAGGCTGTTGACTTGAACAGAGAGAAAGGGAAATCTGTAGCCGTGAAAAATCTTACAAATTACCCCCCAGGGAATATGAGCTTCAATGGAGAAATTCTGGAGACCCAGGGGATTATGCAAATCCCTGGGAAACCCAGTTGACACTATCAGTAAGTGTTCCTCAGGGTCATGATCTAGAAATATTAAGATGACAGAAAATAAGCTATTTAATAGACAGGAGTTACAAGATATTCACAAATCAGGGTAAAAAATCTGACAGAGTTCTTACATGATTTGTGGACTAAATTCAGTAAATTTGTATAGTCCACAGGTATGAAAATAGGTTTGAATATCTCACCTATCTTATAATACTACCACAAATGATGAATAAATGACTATGGCTCAGATTAGCCAGAATATTACTATTTTCTTTGGGGCTGGGTAGCAACACTGTGGGGAAGAGCATTGGGTTTATACAGTGAAAGAGAGTGATCAAATTTTGATCAAGTCATAAAATTGCACAATAATAGGGGACTCTTTTATATGGAAATATATCCAATGTTAGCAATGGTGGAATCTTAGAATATCTTATAATAAACTCTCACAATAATTATATTAGTTGATTATTAGTTCATCAAATTAATTAACCATTGATTGGATTCATTATTGATCCTACAGATTATATACATAACATAAATATAAGCCTAATACAACTACAATATTATAATAAACTTTCAAAATAGAACACCTCCAAACTCTTAATGACATAAACTATGAGGAAAAATATCTCTCATTTTAACACAGAATCTTAAGTAAAACAAACCTGAAAACATTAGCAGGTGAACATTAGATCTTTTCCATCTCTCCCTGAGTTTAGAAGTCATAACACATCAAGAGAATTTAAGAAAAGTAACCACTTCGGCAGAAATTTTTATGGACAATTTCCTATAATAAGAATAAGCCTCAAAAATATAACCACAACTCCAAAGTCATGCTTCAGCAAACACACTAACCACAGAACACTAGGCAATTACTTAGCAATCAGAGGAAGAAAATAACCCCTAACAAACTACCTCATTTATTATATACAATAAGTAATAGTTTTCTATTCATTTTAGAGGGAGTTTTTTTTCACTGACATAACATTAGTTTATAACACTGTATAGGTTCCACAATTACATTTTCTCACCATGCCCATTACCAAATATTCAGTCACCACCCACCAATAACAAATGGATTCCTCCCCACTCATGCCACCCTTCTTACCCCTGGTAACCACATTTATGTTGTCAGAGTCTAAAGGTTTTTTTTTTTTCTATTCCAAAAATGGAATTTTTGCCTTCTGACTTATTTCAGGTAGTATAATACCCTCTATGTCCATCCAGGTAGTCACCAATGACAGTATTTCATCATTTTTATGACCAAATAGTATTCTATTGTATATATAGACCACATCTTCTTTACCCATTGCTCCATGATTGGGCACTTGGGCTGGTTCCATATCTTGAATATTTTAAATAGTGTTATGAAAATAGGGGTGTATATGACTTTTTTTTAAAAAGATTTATTTATGTATACAAGAACTGGGATATAAGCCAGAGGTGCAGGGGAGTAAAAGGATTCACCAGAGACAGAGTGGGGAGCAGAACAGGCAGATCCATTGAAATACACTGCTAAGGGGAACAGCAGGTAAGACAGGAGAGGTCTGCTGTGCCATGTGGGTCAGCTCCCTGGCCGGGAATCAAAATCGTGCTGCAGTGGCTGGCGATAGCTTGACAGCACTGTTTTTAACCCCTGCTCCACCAGGGAGGCCTATGTATGACTTTTTGAGTTAGTGTTTTCATATTTTTTAGGTAAACACCTAGAAGCATGATAACTAGATTGTTTGGAGGTGCTGTTTTTAAATTTATGATCATATCATCTCATAAATCTCATCTAGCGGTGACAATCAAATCATCTCCCCTGTGGAGAAGGGGATACATAGTTCAGTGTTCTTTAATACCCCATCGGCATACAGACAGCGGTCAGGGTTGCCAGTGTCTGGTTTCTTAGTGTAATGTGGGACATTGAGCCAGAGTTCAGGATGGGAAATACTTAAGCCCCCTGAGGGAAGGTTGCAAGATCAAAAGATAATACCATTTCCTCCTCCACCCCTGAAATATCAAAACAAGAGAATCCTAGTGATAAAAACCAATAACAGGGCAAATTCAGAGATTAAGAGAATACAGAATGCACAAACAGGAGAGATTTGGGACCTCAGTTGGCCTCATCTAGGGGATAATATATCCTTGAAAATGAGCATCTTGGGCCCTCCCTGGTGGCACAGGGGTTAAAGACTCAGGCAAGCTATCGATCCCCAGCCAGGGAGCTGACCCACATGGCCCAGAAGACCTCTCCTGTCTCGCCCGCTGCTCCCCTCAGCAGTGTATTTCACTCAATCCACCTGTTCTGTTCCCCACTCTGTCTCTGGTGAATCCTCTCCGCCCCCAACCCCAACACACACTCCAGTTCTTGCATGCATGCATAAATACATCTTAAAAAAAAAACTGTTGAGCACTAATACTCTGAGCCAAAATTTCTATTGGGGAGTGAAGATAATACACTGGACAAGTCACCTAGAGAGAGATACAGTTCTTGCCCCAGGAAATGCACAGTCAACCAGAGGCGTTCATCTTATGGTCACAAAACAATTATCAATTAGAGAAATAAATGATTACAGTGTGTTTAGAGCTGCTTGGTGCCTAAGGATTCCAAGTAACTTCTCATAGGGACAATGATTATTGTGATTATAATTAATCTAATTGTGAGAAGGGCTTCACAGGGGCTTTGGGAGCAAATAGGAAGCTATCTTGGTGGGTTGTTAGGGAAAGTTTAATGGGAGCACTGACTTCTAAGTTAAAGACCTCACGGGTGAGTTGTTCAGCTGCTGAAAAGACCATTCCCTGCTGGGAGGGAGAGAACAGGTTTCAGGGGTTCTGGAAGGAGGCAGTTACAGACCCCAGCCCAGAGGCCCGCCCTGAGCATTTCTAGCTCACGTCTCCTGGGTCTGGATCTGCCAAAGACACTGCCACACGGCTCAGTGCCCGACAACTTGAAAGGCCTCAGATGTGCCTGGAGTCTCACCCTTGAAGTGACCTTCCCAAGGTCATCAGGGCTACTGAAGGTTTGCAGGGCTACTGAAGTAAAGGGACAGAGGCCCCCTCTTCATTTCTCTCCCAGCCTCCTCAGCCCAAGGTCCCCTGTGCTGGTGATTCTAAACCGGTTTGTTCAATTTCCTGCTAATCCTCTGTAGTTCCTTGAGACTCAAACTTCCAAGCCCTGACATCCTGAGTCAGAGGTGATGATGCCATTTCATCTATGACCCATTTTTTTTCAGGTCATTGGGGGTGTATATGGAAGGTGAGAATTTCTCCTTCACCTCAATGTCAGCTCCATGAAGTTCAACCCATTGTCTTGCTCATCACTGTTCTCTCAGCACTTGGGCCAGCATGTGGCACATGATAGGTGTTGCAAGTATTTACTGAAGAATGAATGCATGAATGAATGGCTAAATTTGCCAATCCCCAACACACCCAATGTGGAGCTCAATGTCTCCCATCAGTCCCTGTCTCTTCCATATGTCTCTCTTCTGTGCCCAGAATAAATCCCTGTCCCAAGAGGACACTGAATGCCCCAGTTATGCCTGCCAGTGACTCTCAATCGCCTGTGCTGTAACGCCACAGTTGGACAATACTGGTTGCAAGCCAGCCATGCAGTGCAACCACCCCAGACCCAGCCTCCTCATGTTCCTCCAGCTGGCACAACCCCATCATATACCTCGAGGGAGGTGCTCTCCATTTAAGAGCACTGCTCATTGAGACCTCCCTCAGAGCCAATCCTGAGTTCAACCTGCAGGCATCTGCAGCACCTGCCACATTTAGATGCTCTATTGTCTCTGGAGAGTTAACACAGGTTCCAGGAAACCCTCTTTCAACCATCATAGCAAAAAAACAACCACCAACTATTGAGCAGCCTACCTTTAAGAGGGACATCTGGATAGAGACAGGCGCAGCGTGATCCGTGATGCTCTTGGCCGTCCTTCTCATCGTCCTCCTTGGTCTCTTGGTACTCTGGGGCCAACCGAAATCCAGGGGCCGCCTTCCACCTGGGCCCTGGCCTCTGCCCTTCCTGGGAAACATTTTGCAAATAAACCATAAGGGTTTGCTCGAGTCCTTCCAGACGGTGAGATGGGTGGGGCAAGGGGATGGAAAGCAGGAGGTGGGGGGCTGGGAAGCAGGTCCAAGGCAGCAAAGCAGTTGGGACTTGGAAGGACAGCTTGGGGATTGTCTTCTTCCAGGCCAGACCTGGCCCAATGTGCTAACTAGAGAAGTTTCTGGAATTCCTATGTGAAGGATTGGCGGGAATGTGGTTGGAGGGAGGGAATTCTGATAGACTTTGAGCTGTGATTCTCTAGAGGTTGGAGATAATAGAGCTGGTTTTCTGGGGACTATGCAATTTTTTTTAATTTAACTATAATGGATATATAAAACTATATTTGTTTCAGGTGTACCATGTAATGAATTAATATATGAATACATTATCAAATAAGCACAATTGTCTAGTTACCATCTTTCACTCTGCAATGCTACTTTCAAATTTGGGGTATGTTGTTATTGACTATCATCACCAGGCTGCACACTACATCCTCAAGACTTAGTTCTCTTGCAACTAGTGGTCTGTGGCTTTTTATCCCCATCACCTATTTCCCTGTCTTCTACCCTCAACTCTCTCCCCTCTGGCAACCATCAGTCTCTTCTCTGTTTGCATGAATTTTGATGTTGCTTGGTCTGGTCATTTTTTGCCTTTTGGGTTCCATATATGCTTTAAGTTGTGCAATATCTGTCTTTCTCTGTCTGACTTATTTCCCTTTGTAATATATACTAAAGGACCATACAAGCTACTGCAAATGGCAAGATTTCATTCATTTTTATGACTCAGCAGTATAACTGTGTGTGTGTGTGTGTGTGTGTGTGTGTGTGTGTGTAACATGTTCTTCATCCACTCTTTAACCATTGAGGGGCACTTGAGTTGTTTCTATATCTTGCCCATTGTAGATAATGCTGCTGCAGTGAACATGAGGGTACTATGTCTTTTTGAAGTGATATTTTTTGGTTTTATATGTTGTTTTGAAATAATATCCAGGAGTGGATTGTCAGATCATATAATCACACCATTCTGAATTTTTTTGTGGAAACTCCGTACTGATTTCCATAATGGTTGTACCAATTTCCATTCCCATTAACAGTGCACTAGCATTTTCTCTTCTCTACACCCTTGCCAACTCTTCTTATTTCCTGTTAGTTTTTTTTTTATGATAACCATTCTGACAAGTGTAGGTTTGATGGGCATTTTCCTAGTGATAATGGATGCTGAAAACCAGCTTTTCACGGTCATCTATGTCTTCTTTGTAAAAACGCTTATTCAGATCCTCTGCCAACTTTTTGATCATATTGTTTGTTTTCCTATTATCGTGTTGTAAGAATTATGTATTTAGATATTAACTCCTTAACTGATATATGATTTGCTAATATCTTATTCCAGTTAGTATGTTTTCTTTTAATTTTGTTAATGGTATCTTTCATGGTGAAGAAATCTTTGAGCTTAGTGTCGTTCCATTTGTTTATTTTGTTTTTGCCACCCTGCCTCTGGAGTGAGATTTTTAAAAAATCACTAATATCAATGTCAAGGAGTGCTGCCACTTTGTTGTAGCAGGAAACGGGACTAGGAACACAATGGTCATGGAGCAGGTTTGCAAGGCAAGACTCTGCTATGGGATCTGAAGTTCTTGTTTCATTTATTGAATGCACACAGGCTAGTGAAAGCTGATCACGAGGCAAAGGTATGAGGAACAATGTCCGAGGAGCAAGGCGGGGGGCAAAAGTTTATGAGAAACAGAAAAGGGGGCATTGTGATTGTAAGTCAGGAGACATTTGCATCAGAAAAGTATATGTGTTGATGTTATCACTGGCAGAGTTATCCTGAGTCCACCATGGATTTAGTCACGTAACCAGGTCAATGGTGGCCTAGGTGTCCCCAGGCCTGCCTGGTGATAGTCAAGTAGAAATGCTCTGCTGTGATTTGCAGATAGCAAATAGGCCCATGAGTTGCCAGCTCATAAGAACCCACAGAGGAGCTTCTTGCCTTCAAGGAGCTTTATGTCTAACATTAAAGTCTTTAATCCATTTTGAGTTACTCTTCGTGTATGATGTAAGTTAGTGTTACAGTTTCATTCTTTTGCCTGTGACTGTCAATTTTTCACAATACTATTTACTGAAGGGACTATCCTTTTCCTGGTGTATAGTCTTGCTTCCATTGTACCAAATAAACTGATCATTTATATGTGACTTGATTTCTAGACCCTCTATTCTCTTCCATGCATCAAAATCTTTGTACACCAATATGATACGGTTTTGATGGCTGTTGCCCTATAACATAATTTAAAACCAGGGTGCATTATACCTTCAGTTTTGCTTTTATTTTCCCAATATTGCTTTGACTTTGGGATCTCCTGTGATTTCACACAAATTTTAGAATTATTTATTCTATTTCTGTGAAAAAAAAGTAGAATTTGGTAGGCATTGATTCTTTGTATTGCTTTTAGTAGTATGTATATATAAACAATATTCAGGGCCTCCCCGGTGGCGCAGCGGTTGGGCACTGGGTTGCGAGGCTGCCCGCGGCCTCTGCGGCGCCGGTTCGATCCCCGGCTGCTCCCCGGCCACCGGAGGAGGGTCCCACATGGCCCGCAGACCTCTCCTGCCACCCGCTGCTCCCCTCAGCGGTGTACCTCAGTCCTTCTGCCTGCTCTGCTCTCCGCTCTGGCTCTGGTGAGTTCTCTCACCCTCCCACGCTTCTGACTGTACCCAGTGCATGTATAAACAAAAAGAAAGAAAAGAAAGAAAAGAAAAGAAAAGAAAAGAAAAGAAAAGAAAAGAAAAGAAAAGAAAAGAAAAGAAAAGAAAAGAAAAGAAAGAAAAGAAAAGAAAAGAAAAGAAAAGAAAAGAAAAGAAAAGAAAAGAAAAGAAAGATGCCTCTATATAAAAAAAAAAAAAAACAATATTCATTCCTCCAATCTATAAGCACAGAGTAATTTTCCACTTCTTTATGTACTCTTCAATTTCTTTCAATAATGCCTCATATTTTTAGTGTACAGTTCTCTAACCTCCTTGGATAAATTTCATGCCTAGGTAGTTCATTCTTTTTGAAGTGACTATGAATGAAATTCCTGTTTAAATTTTGATTTCTGTTTATTGTCAGTGTGTAAGAATACAACTGATTTGTACAATGATTTTGTACTCTACAACTTCACTCAATTTTTTAGTTCTAACAATTTTTTTGTAGCATCCTTAGAGGGTTCTACATATAAAATTATGTCATCTAAAAATAGTGATAATTTTACTTTTTCCTTTCTGCTTTGGATGTTTTTTTTCTCCTCCCCATACACTCTGGTGAGCTCCAACAGTATTTGAATAAAGTGTGCACAGTGGGCTAGGTCTTGTTACAGATCTTAAAAAAGACTTCCAGCTTTTCACCATTGAATATTTTGTATGCTGTGGGTTTGTCAAATATGGTCTTTATTATAGACATCTCTCTATCTCCACTTTAAGTTTTTATCATAAATCAATGTTTAATTTTATCAAGTGGTTTTTCTGAATTTATTGTCATCATATGAGTTTCATCTTGCACTTTCTAATGTGATTTATCATGTTGATTAATTTATGGATATAGTATTTTTGCCTCCCTGGAATAATTCCCACGATATTTTGACACATTGTGAATTCAGCTTGCTAATATTTTGTTGAAGATTTTGGCATCTATGTTCATCATGGACATGCCTATAATTTTCTTTCTTGCGTGATAGCCTTCTCTGGTTTGGGTATCAGGATAATAGTGATCTAAATTTTCTTTGAAATTTTGGTAGAATTGAATAGTTGGTTTTGACTACTATTTAATCTTCATACTAGTAACTGACTATTCAGATTTACTGTCGTTTTTTTTTTCCAAATTCAGTCTGTGTGCAATTCCCAAATGTCAAAGCTGAAAAGATCTATGAAAAGCCAGGAGAATCACTTATCTTCAGGGATATGCAAATAAAAAGCACAGTGAGATAACCATCTCAAACCTTGAGAATGACCTACATCACAAAGATCAACAAACAACAATCCACAAGGGTTTCGAGGAAAAGCAGCCCACAGACACTTTTGGTGGGACTGTGGACAGTCCATCCTTTACAGAAAAGAGTCTGGAAGTTTTTGAAAACATTGAAAATAGATCTACCTTGTGACCCAGCAATTCTAGTCCTAATTCAAAGGGATATATCATCCTGTGTTTACTGCAATACAGTTTATAATAGCCAAGCAACAGAACAATCGAAGTGCCCACAGCTGAGTGGATAAAGCACATCGATACACACACACACACGCAGGCACACTCGCACGCATGCACACTCGCACAAACGCACACACACAATGGATACTACTCAGCTAGAAAAGAAATGAAATCTTTCCATTTGCAATAAAATGGGGGCTGCCCTGGTGGTACAGGGGTTAAAGACACAGCGCTATCAAGCTATCACCAGCCACTGCACCATGAGTTCAATCTCCCAATCCGGGAGCTGACCCACATGGCACAGCAGACCTCTCCTCTCTCCCCCACTGCTCCCCTCAGCAGTGTATTTCAGTAAGTCCACCTGTTCTGCTCCCCACTCTGTCTCTCATGACTCCTCTCACCCCTGCACCTCTGGCCTGCACCCCAGTTCTTGTATGTATGAATAAATAATGCTTAAAAAATTGTAATAATATGGATGGAACAGGAGAGGATTATGCTAAGTGAAATATGTCAGAGGGAAAAAAGACAAATGTCAGGGCCTCCCCTGGTGGCGCAGCGGTTGAGCGCTGGGCTGCAAAGCTCCCCGCAGTCTCTGTGGTGCCGGTTCAATCCCCGGTCACCAGTGAGGGTCCCACATGGCGCAACAGACCTCTCCTGCTGCGCCCGCTGCTCCCCTCAGCAGTGTATTTCTTCGTCAGTCTGCCTGTTCTGTTCCCCGCTCTGGCTCTGGTGAATTCTCTCACCTTCCCGTGCTTCTGACTGTACCCAGTTCTTGTATAAATAAATAAATAAATCTTAAA